CCAGTTTCACAGGAGATCAAAGCTTCGAACTTCACTAAAGATTAAGGTTTATTTGTGTTACTGTAATTGTATATATTGGCAGAAAAGGGGAGTTGTCGAAGGTGTGGATTATGAAGCAACCGGGGAAGTAAAGAAAATAGATGTATCGCGTATGCGTGAAAGGCTGGATAACGACTCTATTGTGATCTTAAGCAACCTCGGATATTCGAGTTCTGGGGATGTATTAAATTGCAAGTATGCTATATGGCTTTACTAATAGGTACCTTTACTATATAAAAGTGTTACAGTATGATATTAGAACGTAATTGGGCATCCTAACAAGATTTTTAGGACACTTATGACATAGAACTTCTTATTAGCTTTTTTAAGTGTCCTATGAACACATCTTTTTATAGGATACTTGTTTTCATGAGTAATAAAAAACTAATGAATGTTTTAGAGTAAACTACAAACTTGGGCCCTGTGGTTTGTTGAAAATAACAATTTTCATCCCTACAGTTTTGGAATTACATTACAAGAAAACCATCATGGTTTGTGAAAACGTCTGGATTTGGTCCCTTTTTATAACGACCGTTAAAAATATCATTAGATGAGGAGCAATTGTCATTTTTCAAATTTTTTTGTCTTTTACCCAACCAAAAACCAATTGGCCAAAATCATAAACTCAATTTTGATTAGGTAATAGACAAAAAAATATCGATCAAAAGACGAAAACACCTCTCATATAACGAAATTTTTAATGAGCGTTAAAAGGGAGAGACCAAATCTGAGCGTTTCTTGTAAACCATGATGGCCATCTTTTAATTCCAAAAATGTAAGAACGAAAAGTGTCATTTTCCACAAACTACAGGAACCAAATTTGTAGTTTACCCAATGTTCTATTTCAAAAGTGTCAAAAAAAACTATGCCCAAAAACGTCTTATCAACTTATTATTACACATTAAATAGGATGCATCATTTACTGGTCCTGTAAACTTAAGTCCTATAAAATAGTATATTATGATATTTAGACATTTTTGACATCTTATAAAAAAAATTCTATGAATTTTCCTCTTTTTCTGTCCGGATCTCTATAAATGTTATGCTTATTAATCCTCCTTGCTTTCAATGATGCAGCACATATGAAGTTGCCACAGCTTGTGCTTTGGCTCTTGAAGCAGAGAAGCTTATTTGCATTATAGATGGTCCTATATTAGATGAATCAGACCGTCTTATTAGGTTTTTGAGTCTTGAAGATGCAGATGAGCTAATACGCAAAAAAGCCAAGCACGGTGAGGTAGCTGCTAATTATGTAAAAGCCATTGGAGACTGTTATGGTGCTACGTTTCAGAATGGAGTTGGTTTCGATAACGGGAATGGTTTTGCGATTGGTGGTCTAGAAAGGCTGAGTAGGTCAAATGGTTATCTCTCGGAGTTGGCTGCTGCAGCTTTTGTGTGCAGAGTAAGTCCTTAATCGAAGAAGAATCCTACTTAATCTATGTTGTTGAATCTTTTTGGAAGTATATGCATCGATGTTCTTTATGGTCTCGACAAAGGCATTTTATCCTGTGGTTTTCTTAAAAGTCACGTGTTATTGACACCGATTTCCCGAGCTGCAAGTTAGATGTCTACCCTGAGCGTGTATTATTAAATAACAATCCGTAGTATACAATAACTCTTCTAGAAAAAGATGCAATTATCTTGAAAGGCATAGTTACTGTTAGAGTCATATATCAGCTGTATGCATGTATTTGGACAAATTATCTGAAATATGTTGGAACATCTCTTTTCTTATCAAGAGCTTTTTCGAAAAGTAATCTAATGGGGTTCCACATTTTCTCATATGGTATCAGAACAAACTCTACCATCTGTGGGACAATCTATGCCTGTCTGGTCTTTATTGGAGGGGGCATGTTAGAGTCTCACATATGCTATTCTTAGACATTTCCCTTCAACATATGTTGGAACCTCACTTTTATCCTCAAAGGCTTTTTTGGAGAGTAATCTAATGGGATTCCACATTTTCTCATATGGTGCAAGAGCCAAGCTCTACCATCTGTGGGACAATCTATGCCCGTCGGGCCTCTGTTGGAGGGGGCGTGTTAGAGTCCCGCATCTGCTATTCTTGGACAATTTCTCTTCAATATATGTTGGAACCCCCTTTTATCCTCAAAAGCTCTTTTAAAGAGTAATCTAATAGGGTTACATATGATCTTACGTAACTCTTCTAACCCTGTACATTTACTGTACCCCAGGGAGGTGTCCAGAGAGTTCATCTACTAGATGGGAATATAGGTGGAGTGCTATTGAAGGAATTATTTCAAAGCGATGGAATTGGGACAATGGTGGCAAGGTGTGCAAACTTCTATTAATTCTTTACAGCAACAACAATAAGGACAGTGTTCTTCCTACTTCACATACATTTTATACCTTTCAGCAACCTTTATGAAGGAATAAGAAAGGCTAAGCCGGCTGATTTTCCAGCAATAAGACGAATTCTCAAACCTCTAGAAGATTCTGGAGCTTTGTTCAGGTGGACTGATGAGAAGATTTGCACTAGTTAGCCTTTATGTGCTTTGTGTCCACAGCAATTCGTTGTTGAATAACTTAATCGTGGGTTGTTCATCTCATAGCTACTTAATGCATTAGATTCATTTGTTGTTGTGGAGAGAGTGTCAAATCATTGCATCTGCTGCTCTGTTTTCGTTTCATGAAGACAAGTGCAGGGAGGTTGCTGCTATTGCCTTTTCTTCCGGTTGTCGCCAACAAGGGCAGGGAGACAAATTAGTTGGTATAACATGACCACTAAACTTGTCTTTTATAGATCTGTATGACTTGTTAGTCATTATGGAAACAGTAGCTCTACTCTTTTGGAGCATAGGTTAAATCTGCATACATCTTACCCCCAAACCTAGGCTCGTTAATGACCTCCAAGGCCTTATATATGAGAGATCTTTCTATCTAGTCCTTGTTCATTTTAGATCTAAAGAGTGAATTCATTCTTGTAGGATGTATTTCTAGAAGTTGGTTCATGTCAAAAGGCAACTGTGAAGTCTCATCACAAGCTAGACATGGTCCTTTTTACTTCCTATATACGTTGAACCTCTTTTCTCTCCTCAAGGACTCTTTCAGGGAGTATTTTGAATATGTTCCACATATCTCACATGGTAGCACTCTATTAGAGTTAGGGTCTTCTACCTAGAGACTCTACACCAAGAGCCACTGTCTCAAAGTTGTTAAAGGCTCAAGCGCACTTGGGCACAAAGGGTCCGGGGGCCTAGGCTCGAGGCGCAGGCATGAGGCGCGGATCTCAGGAGTGCGAGGCGCATCTTTTCGAAATAATATAGTTGTGTGCAATTTTGTGTGCGTATATTATATATATATATATATATATATATATATATATATATATATATATATATATGCACACAAAATTGCACACAACTCATATATGCAGCATGTACAAGCCTCCAATGCAGCAACCGGCAGTGCTTTGATAGAGGGAGAAGGGTTTAAAGCGTGAGCCGTGGCGTAGAAGTTTCAAGTTCCGGGTATTTATAGAGAAGGAGGTTTGAAGTTCGAAGGACTGACTATTTAATATTAGGGTTTGACTTACGTCATCTATTTAGTAACTCTTCTTTTAGCAAGTCTGGCAGATGAGAAGATAAGAGAACTTATTTAATATTAGGATTTGACTAGGTATTTAGTAACTCTTTATGAGGCGTGCCTACGCTCACCCTAAACTCACGAGGCGCCTCAGCCAAAGCGCAATGTCTTAGTGAGCCTCGAGAATACACCTAGCCTCAACTTTATAAAAGCCCCAAGACCTTGACCCTTATGAGCCTCAGAGCCTAGGCGCGCCTCAGGCGTGCTTTTAACAACTATGAACCTTCTCCGTCTAGCTTCTATTGGATGGGGCATGTTGAGTCTTACATCAGCTAGACACAATCCCTTTACTCCCTAGATGTGTTGGAACCACTCTTCTCTCCTCAATGGCTCTTTTCAAGAATAATCTGACAAGGTTCCATTCTAACAAACTGCCTGCGTACATCAAAACACATCTAAGAAAGCACAAGAGACATACCTATAACCCCACAAATTGAAAGATAGTAGTCATGTTCATATCATTTTGTTTACTACAACATATCAGAGTTCCTATATACAACGGCGTGAACTCTTTGCATTGCCTGTAGAGTAGATGTAGTAGAYTGAGATCTCTCGACAACCGTAAGAAGTTAAGGTTCCAACCTGGGATTGTAGTTCAATCGGTCAGAACACCACCCTGTCAAGGCGGAAGTTATGTATGTATCTTGGGGTATTGGTTTGCACCACTCTGATATCTCTTACCTTATTGTGAACTTGCAGAATACATAGAGAAGAAAGCATCCTTCATTGGACTGCAAAGGCTTTTCTGGGTGACAACTCACACAGCAGATTGGTAAATCTTCCACTTTGGGACTTATTGCACCAGAAATGTAGAAAATACAGCATACAACCCGTGTACTATGTTTTCTTATTGACATCATAATTTACAGGATATAATAATAATAATAATGACCCTAACAGCAAGCAAATTACTAAATCACGTAAATATCATGTTACCGTTTCTTTGTTTCCTTCAAGTATTGTCTCAGACGGGCAACAATAGTCACATGAAATATGTAAAAGGGGATTGAATACAAAATTTCAAGATTAATAATTAATTTTATTATTAACTTTTGGGATCTAACATATTTCCATCCTGAAACCCATTGAACCTTTTGTCTTTGCACTCCTATTTATGAAATCTTCAACTGTAAACTTTCATCTGAGACATATTATTATCTGGCCAGGTTCATGAGGCGTGGCTTCTCAGAGTGCTCAATCGAGTTCATACCAGAGGAAAGAAGAAAAAGGATAAATTTTCCCCCTAAATCTAAGTACTACATGAAACAGCTGCTACCAGATACTAGTGGAAGTCATGTTGATAGCAATTTTACTTAGAGGTTAACAGCACGGAATGTAGTAAACATTATGTATTAAGCATAAAACGACATTATAATTGCATCTGTGAAATTAATCACCACAAGACCAAGCATGAATGAAATTGCTATGTAAATGCCAAAGATGACATCTGATGTTACAAAAGAGGTGAAATAAATGATTAATGGTACAAGGTGCATAGAAACAAAGGGTAAAGTAGTGTACCAACAGTCTGATTTATTGAAATCAAAGGAGGTTCTTCAGAATTGCAATCCAAGCTCAGACTTTGACTTATAAAAACAAAACCACATTAATTCTCTGCTGTTTTGGGAAGCCCCTTCCATTTGAAGTTATCTGAATATGCCTTCACCTATATTACCCAAGACAAGGGATTAAATTTGATCTTTGTCGCCTAATATGGAGGCAGCAACAAAAACATCAGCACAGTCTGATTTATTGAAATGAGAACCATACATCTTTTGAGAACTGTGAAAACCCATATATGCATTGATGTATAAATACCATCAAAATATCTATTTGTCAATTAATATATTCTTCAATCTATATGTACTCACTGAAATCCATATAGTGTATGTGCATCAATATTTAATGCATATATGAGTTCTCGTGGTTCTCATTTGAACCTTCCCCTATATGTTGCAGGAGCAGGATTGTGACTTTAAGAACAACATCTTGACATGTGTAACTGAAAAGAGAAAAAGATCACATTCCTAATCTGACAAAGAAGAGAGATTCAAAAGAATTGAGCAACTACTTCAGCAAGGCGACATTAAACTAATACAATTTTTTTGGATCCCAATATAAGAAGGAACAATCAGTACCAGCTCGATGGTAGATCAAACTGCAGAGTTTAGACATAAATAAACAGATCCTATGGGCCAGTCAGCAAGTAGCCATGTACCATGAAAATCCCAGAAAGGATACCATGTAATTAGACATAAAAAACAGATCCAGAACTTTTCATTCATGCAGATGCAGTTAATCAAAGAAGTCACTAGAGTTGGTGTTGAGAGTCAAACCTTCAACAGAGGTGTTTGGTGCTTCTTGACCTGCACATAAGAGTCATGTAAATGATTAATGATCAAATTCAAGAATAAGGGAACAACAATTAAAATCAACTTAAACCGAAAGGACTAAATATGACAGACAACATACGATAACATAATGCATAGATTCACAATGTAGAATGCTAGTTATGGTATGTTCAGAAACACAATAATGTAGACTGCTAAGGTAAGAGAACAGAATGACTTAATAGGTATCAGTAATGACCATCTGAATCTACAAGTCTACACTCTACAGCACTGTGGGGTGATATATTAAACAATTCATGAGGACATGACAATTTTGCCACAACAAAAACAAAAGAAACTGAAGAGGGCCATAACATGATCTGATTGTTTAATGACACTATTTTACAAACTTAGAAAGATTAATACATTCAAAAATGAAGCCAATGACAAACACAAGCTCTAACAACAATTTATATATAGTTCTTACTGTATAGTCCCAGCCATGCCTTTCTGCAAATCCTCTTGCATCTGCTTCACTCTCAAAACTGAGTGCAGAGTCCCCAACATTGGCATATGGATCCCCTGTGGATGTCCAACCCATCAATGGATTTTCCCATCTACATAAAACAGAAATAAGATATTTTCTTCAATATAGCGCAGCAGTCAAGTTGACAAATTTATTATTTAGAGAGCGTTTCATTCATTTTAAAAGAATGAAAATGAAAACGGGAATGCACCAGAATGGGAATAGGAATGAACAGTGCATTGATGCTGTTTGGTTAAACCAATATAATCAATGACAATTTGTTTTTTATAGTATTTTTAATACAAATATGTTCCATCCAACTTGAAAATACAAAGCTGTTCCATTCACATCAAGAAAATGGAGCAACGTATGGGAAAAAAGAACTGATCAGAAATAAAATTTTCATTCCCCCCAATTTGGTTAGGTATGGAAAGTAATGGGTTTGGGGTAATGGGCCCATTATATAATATCAGATGAAACCACTTTTTCATTATAGTTCTCATTCCTTACCCCTCAATACCTCCAACCAAAATCCCCCTAAATATTGGACGTGCACCAATGTCCCTCCCGTGTGAAAGCAAAAGATGGTTTCCGGGAAACAATGTAATAAGGTACACCATTTATGAACAAGTGAATGCATCATTAGTGTTGAGCGTCTTCTTGGCTTCTCAAATTACAGAAAGAATATGGTTTATCTAACGATAAACTCACTCAACAAAATACAAACTAAGAGTAACATAATTTCAGTAGTGTATATTTAAGAAAACTTGCAAACCAAGGTTAGGTATCTTTATTGGACTTCACTTTAAGCATTCGAAGAAGATTTCAGCATTGTACAATCAGAACTGTGAGGTATTATTGTACTGAGCTGATAACATTTCCTACTACCAACACATTTATTCACGCGATTAGATATCTGAACGAATGCGCTTAAACTTGTAGTGCAGGTGAGAATCACATAAGAAGAGAGAGGCATACTTCTGTGTGGACAAAAAATTGATTTTCCACCTTCCGACTTTTCCTGATCCTTGCTGTGAAGCTGTTCGAGCAGGTGAATAAATAAGGACCTGACATTCATGATAGTTAGACTATTATTTTATAAACATAAATTAGACATCTTACATCAGATCAGACTAATTTATCCAAATATGCCACAAGTCACTAATCCATGTCTCTTGACTAGAAAGTTAAAATATTGAACACAAAAACAATATGGTGCGAAAAAGCCGTTAGACATTGTGGAGACAATAATTACAGGTAACGGCACTTAGATTGTGAATATATCAGTTTTCCTACAAGCATTTAGCAGGCATTGTAGTGAAGAGTTCATTACTCATGAGGAGAGCGGGGTCGGAACCAGGAAGGGATTAGAGAAGCACAGAGGGGTAAGTGGGCTGAGGGCCATCATATTAGTTTGCTGCCAACATCACATGCATTATACTCACAAATCATGATAACATCACAACTGACCAACCATCAATCTGACATGACACAGACTTGACATCTTTTATATGTTTGAAATATGCCTTGAATCTCACAATGATACATTTCACACAGTTGCTAACATGCTCAAGACGATGTGCAAACCAAATAAACATTGATGACAATCTAAAAAGTATCTTCTTCCAACCTTTGAAACAATGTGACAATGAAATTCTTGCTACCAGTGAAACAAATACACTGTGCAACAACGTGATAATGAAATTCTTGCTACCAGACAAATACATCTTGCAACGATGCGAGGGTGAAAATAGATGATGAGTTCATAACTAAGATAAAAAGACATCCAAACAACAGTCAACAGAAGCTTCATAAGTTAGCATAGACAAATTATATGATGGCATCCTAGCTGAGAATTAGTCTATAGAACAAACATTCGTCTGGGATTTAGAGTGCCATGATTAACTATGATTACTTTCTAGATCAGATATCAAACTAAGTGACCAAAAAACCATTTTTCTCTCCAATGAGGAACGATTTAGATATCACGAAAACTTCTCCAATAGAGAGGCCTCTCCGGATACAAGTAATTTGATACCAGCACCAAGTTGGCTAAGATGGTAATACATATAGCATGTCTTAGACCACAGATATTGGATGGCAATACAGAGCACAGGTGGTTCACAAAGAACACCTCCAGTCTATGTATATACCATATCATTCTTAACTCAAAGACTTAAAAACCTTAAATTCAATTCCAATATACTAAATGAAACACATTTTGCTAAAAATGAGTCAACAAGCGAAAACAAAAATAACAATACATATAATCAATTCAAAATATACATGTTGGGGAATTAGGAGTGCATTTAATCCCATTAGCAATACATGTATATCCAGAACGGCAGAAATCACAATCAAAATTGACAAAACCCTAAATTTAAAATCCCATCAATTGAGACCAAAAATCAAATGAAATTCATGTACTGGATGGTTTTAAGTGGATGAACGAAATGAAAGATACAGTTAATTATTGAATGAGGAATCGGATCTTACCCTCCTTCGGAGATGTTCATCCGGTATACCGGAAACAGTGCCGATCTCTCCTGCTTTGTACTCAACTGACAAAGCATCTGTAGAGAAGCGACTGATCAATTGTGGAAATACAAATCCATGAGCATTACTTGAATGGCTTCCTAGACGACGGAGAGAGCTCGCCATTTTTTTCCCGAGAAGCAGATGCTTGTGGTTGGGGGCGTATTGTACATAACTACATATCAATATTCAATCAGCAAAGTCTACTGAAAATAGAGTAAAGTTCGGTTTAGCCCCTAACTTTTGTTCATGTTAACACTTCTTATCCCTAAACTTTATTTAATCGGTTTTCCTTCCTAATGTTTGTCCATTTCCGACAGATTTAGTTATATTCGTTTAACGGTCTTTAACTTTTCCAGTTAACTCCATTTGAATACGAGGTATTTTAGTTATCTGAAATTTAAACCCGAAACAACCTTCGTAGACGATCCACAAACATCCAACATAAATACAAACCATCGTTGATGCCGTATCTATAAAATCTTTGTTTTTCTCGTCTATAGTTTTATAAGGCAAGGTGATCAGCCTCAAGCAAATCGATTTGGTTTTCGTCAATGGTGGAGTATTGAAAAGTTACGACAAAACCTAAATTGTGTCCAACGCAAGATCCGATAGCGTTATCATCTTACGGGAAACAAGTTCATTCAATGCTTGTAAACAAGTTCTATCACGTGAGAATGCTAACAAAATGATAAAACAGAACCACAAGAGTGGTGCCTGATTGGTTTGAGCTTAGCTCCAAAGGTCAAAAATACCAGGAGTTCCCAGGTTGAAATCCAAAAAGAAATAAAAATCCCCTTGTGGCCACGAAGGTTCAAATTCGGTGACTCCGGGCAATCTGTAAAGCAGATGGTCGCCCTAGTATTAGTCGGCTTGCATAGCGGGTTGAATATCCTGGTTAATAAAAAAATGATAAAACAAAGGGAAATCCAAAACAGAAACCATCATACATCAGAGTCAAAACTACATGTAGATTTTGGGGTCAATTTAGCACCTTCCAAATGCAAATTTTGCCGACCATTTTCTTTACGGTTCAACAAAAATACCATTCTAATTGCAGCACTTGTTCTAAAATCAGAAGCCAGTCTCTGGTGGTTGAACACTGGTTGACGATTGGCAATCGAACGGAAAACATCGTATTCAAACAGAATCTCGTTTGCAATTCATCGAAAGATGCCTCGGAAGTTATTCAAACCGATAACGAAGCAGTAAAAAAAGCGATCAAATTCATTCTAATACAACGGTCGCACCTAAATCCTTGAGTTTCGCCATTATTGATTCAGCATCCTCCTTAGTAATCCCTTTCTTCACTACCACCGGTACTTTTTCCACCAAATCTTTAGCTTCTTTTAATCCTAGATCCGTAAAAGCCCTAACTTCCTTAATGATTTTGATCTTCGAAGCTGCATCATATTTCTCTAGCTTTACGTCAAAAACAACTTTCTCGTCAGCCTTGGCATCCGATCCTGGTCCAGCAGCAGCAGGGCCGGATGATGCTGAACCAATGCCGGTCACCGCAGGGCCGTAGTTGTTGAAACCCATCTTGTAGCGTAGGAGGACTGCGTAATCATTCCTCTCGAGTTTTGTAAGGCTGAGGATCTCGTCGGCGATTCTTTCGAGCTTCTGTGTTTGAGTTCCAGTGGCTGTGCAAAGGCTACGTGAAGCTGTTCGACCAGCCTGGCATTCATGGAAATTGGATAATTATTTTATCGACGACATAAAGTAGACATTTTACATCAAAGCAGGCTAATTGATCCAAAGATGCAACATATCATAAATCCATGTTACTAGCCATTCCCTCCCGGGTTACCCAGATGAATCTGCAATATTGAAGACCTGGCTAAAGGACAAAAACAAAAAATCAAATTCCACCAGGTTACCAAGTGGCAGGGTGGCAATGCGAACCTGGCCGTCGCAATTGCGGACCTGGGTTGAATCTAATAATTTCTTTTCGTCTTTTAGCCAGGTCCGCAATATTGTGGATGTGGATATTGCGGACGTAGTGACATTTGGGTAAACCCGAGAAAGGAATGGCTAGGAGACCAATTTGAATGGGTGGAATGGCTATTCGAATCAATTTCCCTATTTTTTAATCCCACCAAAATAAGTGGAACAAAAATCAGGGAGATGGGAACAAGAACGGTAAATAATTAAACTACTCACGTCAAATCAAGACCCTAAAACCTTTCACAATTCTTTCACCCGCCCACTTCACTCTCGCTCGCCCAGTCCCGTCCCGTCCCGTCGTCTGCGTAATAAGCGCACCCGAAGGGATCAGGGAATCACAGAGAACCAAGTCAACTGAGGACCATCGTATTAATTTGTTGCCCACATTCCATATATTACGCTAACAAATAACAATAACCATCATGACTAACCAACCATCGTCTTACAAGAGTCGCACTTGATATCTTTCATATTTTTGAAAAAATCACTAATCTCCATCATGATGCATTTTACACCGTGACCAACATACTCAAGATAGCGTACAAAGACGGATGGAAACCATATGGAAATTGACAAAATCTAAAAAGTATCTTCTTCCAACCGTTAGGCTGCATTAAATTTCTTACTGCTAGTGAAACAAATACATCTTATAACAAAGTGAGGGTGAAAATAAGTTTTTAACAAGAATAACAAGATACTCATACAACAGTCAACCGAAGCTAGATAAGTTAGCATAGACAAATTAAAAAATGGCATCCTTAATATAGCTGAGAAGAACTAGTTTATAACAACAAACTCTAAACTGGGAATTTAGAATGTCAACACCACCTATGACGATTTGATCCAACATCAAACTAAGGGACCGTTTGAGTCTTGCTTTGATGAAATGTTTTTAAGGAATGTGAATTTTGTGGAAGGATTTGTAATCTGTGGTATGTAGGATGTAGAATGGAATTGAATTCCATTCTTTATAAATAATTTCTAAAAACAAATTATAAAATAGTTAAATTACCGTTTTATTAATTGATTAATACAAAACAAGTGTTTTTAACATATTTTAAAACATTATTACAAACAAATCCTATGAAAACCCACAAATACTAGCTACCTTCATAGGAATTCTAAATCTCATGTTTGTGGGATTTCAATTCCGAACTTCCCATTAAACCAAACCCAGGATTGGAATGGAACCACATTCCAAATCCTGCAAACCAAACAGGCCTATGTGATCCAAACCATTTTTCTCTGATGAAAACAGTTCAGATATCACAAAAATTTCTCCACTAGAGGCCTCTACAATTTCAAGGAACTTTGTACCATCACCAAGTTGACTAAGATAATTACAGAAACCATGTCTTAGACCAGTAATACTGGAAGGAGGCGGAGAGCATTGGTGGTTCATATAGGAAGACCTCCGGTCTACGCATGTACCATAACATGATTAACCAAAGTAGAATTTAAATCAACTCAAAGATTTAGCAAACCTCAAGTTCAATTCAAATACACAAAATTAAGAACATTTTGCATGAATGAGTCAACAAGTGCGTACAAAATAACAATTGCATACGATAAACCAGAAACTAAAAAATACACAAATTGGGAGTTAGGAGTGCATGTTATCCAATTATCGCATCAATAGTCGTATCAAATCAAAGAAATATTCATATGGTGAAAGGGTTTTAGCGAACGAAATGAAAGATGCACTAAATTATGAAATGGATATCGGATCTTACCCTCCATCGAATATTTTCATCCGGAATGCTGCAAACAGTGCGTTTCTCTCCTGCTTTATACTCGTCAGACAAAGCATTTGTAGAAAATCGACTGATAAGTTGACGAAACACAAATCGATCTGCGTTACTCGAATGACTTCCTAGACGATGGAGAGAGCTCGCCATTTTTCCTGAGAAGCAGACGCTTGATGTTGAGGGTGTATAGATATCGACAAAGTTTACCCTAAAAACAACACGAAAATAAAATTTGTGAAAAGTTTTTAAAACTATAAAAAAGTTATAAAAGATCAACCAACTTTTAAATTGGTGTTATTTATATTAACTTGATGTAAAATAACTATAACATAATTTTTTTCCATTTATAATCTGAATGTCAAAATTAATTCTGGTAAGTGGTAGGAAAGGAAAGGGGTTTGTCTTCAATAATACATCCAAGGCTTCGTGTTTTCACCATACTTTCTAACATGACTCACATTACTCAGAGAGAAAATGTTACCAGTCCGAATTCATTTTTCGTACACCAGAACTCGGGAACATAAAACTAAATTGTGAATGTTACGGTTTTGATCAGCCTTACATTTGCTGGTACATTGACCATTCAACATCTAGTCAACCCTCCCTAATTGTCTACTCCTCCGAACCAGCCATTGATTTTGTCATCAACCATCTCCTATTTCACTATATTCGCAGTCCACACCATCAATAGATCAAGATCCAGTTGCAAAGCTTTGGCTTTTGTATTTCGTTTTGAGCCTCCGCCAGTAAATTTCATTAACCTATAAATTAAATCGATTTCATTCTTTGCCAAAAGTTGTGTGCTCCATGATCCCTTTATAGCTTGAAACCCAGAATATGGCTTATTTACTTCTCAATCAATTCCATATTTCGTCAGCAGGGGTCCAACCAGGGCCAGTCCTGGGGTTTTTCATGCCCATGGTGGAAAGGCTAAAAAATGCCCCAAAAATATAAAAAAAGCTAACAAAACATGTTATTTTAAGGGGTTTGAAGCCTAGTCAAACTAGGCGCCTCATCACCATGCTGCTTTTTGTTACTATTATTGATTGATAATGTGTTTTCAGTAATAAGTATCTTATAAGCACCATAATGTAATATCAAGCTAAGTTGAACTTTAGAGGCTTAAACTTGATATACATACACTACCATACAGTGAATCTAGTGTTCTAATCAACCCTATAAAGCCCTGTATGGTGTTCAACTAGCCTCAACCTCAGGAACACTCAGACTATAGTTATATGGTATTTTTAACTGGTATGAACATCAGAATATCCCTGAGCAGTGAGGGTTTTGCAGTCTAAACAGCCCTATATAGCCTTATATATCAACAAAAATAATGAGCTATGGGTGACAAACAATGTTGGATCTACAAGACTCAATATGTAATCAAGAAATTTGGAACAAAAATAAACAACAAATTTCTGAGAGTCATAATGGCTCTGTGAAGAATCACAAAAAATAGTTGAAACTAGTTAGTAATATGAATTATTTCATATAAGGTTTGATGTTATAAAATAACAAATAAGAAATCAAAAACTGATTACTATCAAATATCAATATAGATAAAGAAGAAATGTAGATGATCGAGAAATAGACTTAAATCATATGCCAAAAAGCAGTACTGAAGCATCCATGATATCCACGACCAGTTAGAATGTATGTTAGGCAGTTAAACACCCCTAAAAATGAGTGGTATGTCGTCTAAACAGCCCTAAGTAGCAGCCATAAACAAAGCCAAAACAAAAACCAGACCAAAATCGAGCATGACTAATGCTATACAAGCCTAAACAATGGTAGCAGGTGTATGTGATGCCTTATGTATCTTAGATAAAACACATTTGAATATGTAATGAGCATAACAGATGAAAAATTAAGAAGGATTACTCTGTTCTGAATTTCTTCAATGAAACTACCTAATAGATGATACTTAGCTTTGATTCAATCATATTGTCATATGTTTTACCTTTTAATTTCATCATCAACCCTTTAAAAAAACTCATTACACAAGTATATTATACTTACAAGAACAGGGTATACAGATAAGTCGAGAGGCGGAGGTCCGACGTAGAGCGCAGAGGCGCCGGAGACCAGCCGGCAGGGGCAGCGATGACCGGCAGCGATAGCAGACTGAGCAGTCGTCGGTGGAGAAAGAAGACGAGATTCAGAAGGCAATCTTAGAACGTTGATGCCCTGAAGGCCTGAACCCCCTAATTTGGGCCGAGACTGGGTTCAAAATATTCAATTTGAATTTAGGCCCTTTTTACTCCTGTTCTTGTAAAATCGAAAAATAATAATATGCTTTTATAAATTTATTTATTATAATATTTTATTTTTAGTTTTTTTATTACAATAACGTATTTTTTAATTATTTTTTATTAAGTCATCGTATTTTGAAAATTTTACCTATTATAGCATTGGATAACTTTTTGATTTGAATTTACTCGTTATATTAGGTTTTCATATCACCTCACTATCCATATAGGTTGTCTATATATATTATAGCTTATGAAACATTTATTATTGCACTATTGTACTTTCAAATTTATTTTTTAATTTTTTATTACACCATTGTATTTTTAATTTTAATATTTTATTATTTAAATATTTTACATATTATTTAATAAATATATTAAATGAGTTAGATTTTTTCTAAATTATTCATCAGTATACCAATATTAAATGAATCTAGTATAACACAATTTATCTCGCTAACATTTTTAAAATATGTTTTTTTAAGAAAATAAGAATTGTTACTTTTTTTACCAAAACATGTTATCTTTTAGAGAATATATCATACTTATTTTAAAAAATTACTTGACATATAAATATATTTAATTAATTAATTTTTTTTGAATTATTCTTTGATATAATAATATTAGAAAAATTGTAGATCACAGTTTGTCTCGCTAACATCTTAAAAATAACTTTAAAAAAATGTAACTTTTTGAACAAAATAAAATAAGAAGTGTTATTTTTTTATAAAAAAAATAGTTATCTCGAAAATAATATATCATATTTATTTAATAAATATTTTACTCAAAAATATATTTAATTTTCATGCAATTTAATAAAAAAAAGTCTAAAAAACTAAATATTTTTTATATCGTAGCAATAAAAATTGAAAATCATTGATAATAATAATAGGTTTTTTTCTTTTTTTTTATTTTAGTCCTGTCATCAAAATGATGTGTTATCCACCAATTATACTCTCACAACTTTTAACTCGCCATTTTGAACATACTTGAAATCATTATCACTTTGACGTGATTTCACATTTGTGTTAAGGGTTCTGATGGTAGATAGTGTTTACGGGTTAAGAGTTGTAATAGTAGAAGTGTTTGGATCACTACAGTTTTATAGAGAATATTACAAGAGTTAGGGTGTGTTTGGTTGGAGGTATTAGAAGGTAATTACTGGATATAATAATCATTGATTATGTTTGGTTCAATTAAGAAATAAAAATGGAATAAAAAATTATGTTTGGGATCAAAAAACTAGTCAATGATTATAATAGATTTGGTTAAAAATCATTCATCTTCAATTTGGGGGGAATAGAAACTTTTTCTTTTAATTTTGTCTCTCACTCAATCCTGTCTACCAAGACATGCATTGGAAAGCTGATATGATGTGATGGATTAAGTGGCTATCAAGTTTTTTATTTTAGTTTATTAATAGTTAATTTTAAGGAATCTTTAATAATATAATAAAATAGAATGAAAATAATGATTCTCATTCTACCCTATTTTAATTACCAATCTCATTTTCATTTCTTAAAGCGAACCAAATACCCCCTTATGTATACTACATTTGGTCATAAAGAAAACAAAATACCAATAAAAATCGTTTCCGATATCTCGTCAAATCGTCATTGATATGCCAAATCGTTGCGTCATAAGTTGTATTCACTATAAAACAGAATAGAGGTCAAAATCTCCCCATTTAGACAAAATGAGGGCGATTTCATATGTATCAGATATAATATCTTGTTTTTGTTCCCCAAATGATATACATATGAGACTTATTCGTACCTTATAGTCAAAATTGTTCATGGTCATTTTGTGGAAAAACTCAAAAAAGTGACCATTTTATTAGCTTACCGTGTATAAAATGCTCATTTTGGGTAATTTTCCAATTATCTTTTAGTTATTAAAATAAAAATAAAATAAAACCATTAGAAACGAAAAACAGTTTAATTGTAAAACTGAAAGCATCAACTAAATTTATACTATATTATAAAGCATTTGGCAAAAATTCTTAAAGACAATTTTTTATGCATGAAGTACTGTTTATTGATGCATATTATTTAAAATTTAAGATTACAAGTAAATTATGTATAAATACAACTTATTAAAGCTCCATATTTGAATTCGTGTAACTAACTACAGATAAACATGATCAAATATTCGATAAACATATCATTTTAAATATAAAAAATCTAAAAATATAATTAGAATTATCATTTAAATATTCTAACAGAATACTTAGTTATTACATTTATAAAAAATTATATTATTAAATCTAAATTAAATTTCTTTGTTAGTAAACCTAAATTAAATTATTATAAAAAAATGAATTAAGAAAATTACACCAAAACACAAGAACTTTTAAAAAGATTAATTTGATACTGTTATCGATATATATTTTTTTTCAAAATTTTATGATATTTTTAAATTTATATTTTATTCAAAAATAAAAACATTATTGCTTACTCAAAACAACATAAAATCGTATTATATCGACATAAAAAATAAAAATAAAACGAAACACTAAAATCAAGATGTGTCTCGATGCATTGTACGAGTACTCTTCTAATATTAAAAAATAACACCAAAATAAAAACTTAAAATTATCTTAATTTAATAATATTATTAGTTAGATTTAAATCAAGAAGTAATAAACCCTATAGTTTATAGAGGGGTATTTCTGTAATGTCACCGAAACTCTATACTGAACATGCTTAAAACATGCCCAATTGGAACGATTTGTTTGAGTAGAATCTGTTAATGCAAAGATATCTTGGTGACGATAAATAAGTCTTGATGGAAAGATTCGTGATATGGAGACAACGAAAATTGTAATCCATCAAAATCGCGTCGAAAGATTGAAAATCGAAAAAGGGAGGGAAAATCTTGTTACAGAGAGGGACGAAAATGGCTGCCTCGATTCCTAAAAGAAGTGGCGTATCACCTAAATCTTCGGCTTCTTGATTCTCCGACCATCACTCGTCTCTACGCGCCTGACGTCTTCCATCTCCATAAAACACTAACCACAAAGCTATCCTTACCTTAATCACCAAGTTAAAGAATATAAAGAAATTATGCATTCGCCACCGCCATCACCTTTCCTCTTTTCTTTTCCATGGCAGCAATCCCCTAAATCCCATTTCTTTCTTTTTGGCATTTTCACAAACACATTTGCTCATGTCGATTTTCAAACCCTTTCAGCTTCCCTTCATCTCCCTATTGCTTTTCACCTCCGTTTTTACTCACAAGAATTCATCCGTTTTTGGTTCCCCTTTTGTTCAGAACCGGAGTTTTAACAGGCCAGATCCTCTTCGCCATTTGAGATTGTATAAAGGAGGTTATGATATACGTAACAGACATTATTGGGCTGTAAGTGTTTGTTAAAATTACCCAATGAACTTTTTCATTTTTTCTTACCACCTTCATCAACGGTGATGATTAATCCATTTCATTGAACCCATAGCAGGGTTTTCCCCTTATATAATATTTAAGACTGTAACTGTATGATTTTGTGAAGACGTATATTTTTTCTTTGAACAAGGTTTAAGTTTCGTATATTGATATATGTTTTCTGAAAAATGGTCAGTCTGCGGCATTTACAGGCATCCATGGCTATGCAATGGCGGGAATTTGGATGATATTTGGCTTGGGTTTTGGGAGTTACTTGATGGTAAAGGGTTTTAATGGTGGTTTCCACCCATTTCTTGATCATCCAAGTTCTTACTGCCTTTGTTTTGCCCTCATTGCTGTATTTACTTCAATTGCCATGTAAGTTTGTCCACCATTCACATGTTTTCATCTCCATTTCCAATATGCAAATCTGCTTACCCAAGTCCCTTTTTTGTTTTGTTTTGAAGAGTTTTTTCAAGTTTGATTTTGGTAGCAAATCAAAGCTCTTTACACAGAAGCAAGAACCTTATGGATACTATATTTGGAGCTGCTAGTATTATGCAACAAACGATTGAAGCAGTTATACAAGGCTTACTAAAAATCCAGACACTTCTACAGCCGTATGATCGTCCAACGTCTAAGCTCTTGAATCAGATAACTAAGCAGATGAGGAAGGAAACAACCTCGATTCAGAATTTTGTTCAAGAAGCTAAACAGGCTTCTAATCATGCAATGAAGACAGTGTAAGCAAGCATATTTGAATGAATCTGTACATATACTTTCGGCTGTGTAGCAGTTGCACCGTGTTTATAACAACCTCTTTCTTTTTTTCAGGTACATTGCAAATCTTGTTTTTGTAACAGCGAACTTGGTGGTGCTGGTTGCAGGATGTGGTAAGATTTCTTTATGGTAGATGTCTTGTGTTCAAATATTTACATGATATTCTTTACGGGTGAAATTTTTCATTTTCTTTGTCTGGTTATATGATGCAAAATGAAATGGAATGTCATCCTGGGTCTTTTTTATAACACTAGGGGGCGTGTAGTTAGTTATTCCTACCTTGGTTATGTTTTCTTCTACCTGCTCCTGTCTGTTTGTAGGTTTTGTTTGTTGTTTGTATGGCTGTTCTGATTACTGTTGCTTACTTCTAATTTGTTTCCAATTTTTAGCACTACCCTTCGTTTTTTTAAGTCCTTCCAACTCCACAAATTTTTTGAGCAAGCTTCATTCTTTCTTTTCACACTCTTTGCACAAGCCGAGGGTGTTTATGGAAATAGTCGCTCTACTCTTCGAGGTATAGGTCACGTCCACATAAATCCCACCCCCAGACCCCACCTTTTGGGTGGGATTTACCGGGTTCGTTTGGTTTGGTTTACTTGCAAAATGGAGCCGGAGGAAAACGATATAAAAGAATTGATCCTAAAAAGCACATAAACGGATATTTATAGCGTCATTATCACGCCTGAATGATTCCAATCTCGAAAAAAATGTTTTGGCTTGAAAAAAGGGAATTTCGGGGAATGAAATCCAATATTTGGATCTTAATCTTGCTTTAGATTACATTATAATGCTACTGAAACATTTTAGTGGTACTCTTTTCTTTCTTTATAGCTTTCTCCTGATTTTGTATTGTTTTCTTTGACAAATACACGAAACCAATACTTTGTTTAGACTAATGGATTCCTATCTTGTACAGTTATCTTCTTCTTGCATTGGCACCCTGGATTTATCATGTGAGTTAAACGATATATGCTTGGTTAACTTTCTTTGAATTATCATTAATAAAACTTGGAAGTATGCTGTTACATTAACACTGCCCCCACACAGCCTTATTGTCGTTTGCTGGATCTTGACAACCGTTAGTTGGATCTTAACCGGCTTTGATTTCTTCTTTCACATGTGAGTGTTAGCTCTTCGCATATCATGTGTATAAGAAAATTGAAATAATCCCTCTGACCCATGAAATTGCAACAATTTCTTTTTTAGAAAGTTTCCAAGTTAAAATTACATATTTTTCTATCACCATCTTTACAAACAAATTGATGGTATGTATCTATTTGGGTCCACAATATTCTTCTGTTTTATCTTTAGGGGTATTTTTAGATATTTGATATAAAGTCAAATGTATACTTAAACAACGATGATCAAACTCAAATGTTGCAATTTTCATGGGAATGATGGGAGTGATTGAGAAAAAGATTTGGTTATGTTACACCTGTGTCTGAAATCACTAGGTGAGTATGCAGTTTTGCAGGGGATACATGTTCAGCTTTTGAAAATTTTGAACAAAGTCAAAGTCCCGGAAACAATAACATCATGTCAATCATGTCTTCGTGTTCAAATTCTTCAACCTCAGATAAATTCATGGCTCAAATCGGGTACACGGTTCATAAATACATAACTGAGGTACATGATTATGTTGCAAATATCATGCTATTCATTCTGGAATTCCTAGTTTTAAGAGTGTTTTTGTGATTAATGTTTAATTCTCGACTGCAGTCAAATTCAGAAATAACATCTTTGGCGCACAAAATGCTTCAGCCAAACGAAGAAAGCGATGATTCCTTTGTGATCGAGAGAATTTGTGACCCTTTCTCTAACGGACCTAGTTATAGCTATACTCCTGGAAACTGTCCACCAGATGCCATTCAAATTCATGAACTGCCAAGTGTTAGTATCTCAATCCATGAACTTGAGCCATTTAGGATTTTAATTTATAGGTCTTCACAAAAACAGTCTCTCTACCCCCTTTGGGTGGAATCAAGGTTTGCATACATCCTACCCACAGACCCTACCTCTGTGTGGGAAGGGTAGACGCAAAGTTTGCATACATCCTACCCTAGACCCTACCTCTGTGTGAGATATATTGTGTGTCTACCCCTTAAGGTAGAGGTAATGTCTGCATACATCCTACTCTAGACCCTACCTTTGTGTGGGATATACTGTCTCTCTACCCCTTGGGGTAGAGGCAATGTCTGCATACATCCTACCTCAAGACTCCACCTCTTTGTGGGATATACTGGGTTGGTTTTATTTAGATCTTATCTATATCATATAAGGAGAAATAAAGACATTATCACAAGTTTTGAAGCAAATTTTTTGATCAGGAACTCAAGAATTTTTTCCTTCCTCCCTTTTTGGAGTGTGTGTGCAGATTCTTTCAACCTTAACTTGTGAAAAAGATACACCAACCGAAACTTGCATAGCCGAAGGGCGGTTTTTTCCAGAATCCTCATACGGAAAAACAATGGCCTACATTGAATCCATCACGAACTTGATTGCTACATATCCAGATTTGCAGAGCCTGGCCAGATGTACACCAGTGAAACAAGCGATCTCCGATATTGCATTGCACCAATGCAAACCATTCAGAACCTCGGTTAGATTGCTATGGGCTTTTATTCTCTCACTTTCTATCGATATGATGATTCTAACCTTTTTCTGGATCGTAAAAGCTTATCAAGAGAAGGGCAAACACTTCTCTTTATGTTCAGTTGTTCCTAGACACCATTCACACGAAGTTTCAAGAATCGACCAACAGAGTTTGTAAACGAAATTAGAGAAATACGAAACTGAACCCGGGAATCAAGTCGTAAGACTTTGGTTGACTCGTCGAGGTTCATGTATATAACATCATATACCGAAATTTGTAAAACTATTAACATTGTCTATTGATCAATAATATCATCTGTTGAAAGTGTATATTCTTCTCACCCCATTATTTGCCTTGGCTCAATTCTTTTCTTGGTAATCGCTGGTCTTTAGAACAGCTTGCATTCATTAGATCTTATGGGATCCTGAAGATAACCGTTAGAAAAATCTCCCCGTGACCATGAGGATACTTGAACAGACAACCTATGGAGAGGAGATCCAAAGACCTTACCTTTATTTGCCTGTTCATTCATTTTTATTATAAATATCGGGTCGTTAGGTCTAAATTAGAGCTGTTCACGGGTGGGATGATCCGCTAGACCCGTCTTGTCCTGTCTGGCCCGCTAGAAAAATGGGCTTAGATTTCCATTCTTGAATAAATGAGTGGGTCTGGACTGACTTGTTAAAATTAATGGACGTACATAGGTAATGGAAAAAAAAAAATTGGGAAGGCCCGTTAGGCTATTAATATTTTTACAATAATTAACTTTTATAATTAAAATTTACAAATAAAATTGAAAATTCTTAATATTTATCAGTTCCTACTTAATTATGACTTATGATAATAACATTCTTTAAAAATCTTAAATTTGAAAATATAATTACCTCAATTGATCAAATCATTATTATCTCATTTAGTCATTTTCTTTATTGATAAATATTTAGTGGAACAATTTCTTTCTAAAGTATGTATATTGTTATGTATTTACGTCAAATTTTAAGTTAGAAAAATTGTTATGTATTTACATCAAATTTTAAGTTGGAAAAATTGTAATGTATTTTGAATTATTTTACAGAACTTGTGATTTTATATAAGTTTTGTTTTCATAAATATATAACAAAAACTTTAACCTGTTAGCTTGTGAGCAAGCCCAGACCGTTTATAGGGCGGGTATGGATAAATTTTCAAGCCGGTAAAAACTGGTTTGATTTTACCATATTAGACTTTTTTTTTGTAAGGGTGTCTGGGCCAAAGCCCGACTAATCCCCTACAAATTTGGAGGCTAAACATGGCCCCACTTAAATGTCGCCAACACTCCCCTCACAGGGCTCGAACTCGGGTTCATGACTATGTCATGCCCAAGCCTTTACCACTAGGCTGGAAGGTCTTTGACTACCATATTAGACTTGTTGGACAAAGAAAAAGGTTAACCTCAGTCTGTGTTCGACCCAAGCCCGCAAATGATCAACTCTAGTCTAAATAATTGCCTTATACTTCTCTTTATGCTTTTAATCCTCCTACTGTTTAATCTTATTTATGTTATTTACTATTAATACTTGCTATTCATTGGCTCTTTTAAACCTTTTTTAAAAGGCAAACAATAATTTTATTAAATAAACACAAGAAACGAACAAAAGTTCAAAAAAATATTCTATAAGCAGTAGAACCAGCCTGAAAAGCAATTCAGAAGAAGCAATCCAACCAAAACCAAATAAAAAGAACCGAAGCACCCCTTGAAACCAGATACACCCAACTGAATCTTTTAAACTTCGTTTTCCCATGTTAAAGGTATTTACGAAAACAACCTCGTTGCCTGCTGAGATAGATGAAAAGTCTGCGTACATTTCATATGGGTTTTGTTTGAGTGTATGGGCTGTTTGTTTTTAATAAAAAAAACTTTTAATGTCCTCTTAAGTCTGAATCAGGCAGACATAAGGGGATTCAATGTGTTTGTTTTTTTTTTCAATTAAGAGCTTAAAAGCTCTTATTAGGTCTGAAAATTTAAGTGGTTGCGAAACCTCTTATTACCTCTTATTTCAAATTGTCGCCTACCTACTCTGATCTATTTGCGCTCGATTTCTCTAGATCAACTCTTCTGTCTCGATCTCTCATCTCTCAACTTTGTCAATTGTCGATCTATATCAACTCTTGATCTCTCATCTTCAAACTTCAGATTTCAGACGCAAAATACAAACAGTCTAACTGATTCAGATTTCAAACTTCAGCACCACCTCTTAAAAATCAGAAGTGAATTCAGACTTCAGACTTTAGTACATCTTAAAAAACAAACGCCACCTTAGTATTTTTACTTAATGATTAAGGTTAAAGGAATCAAACAAAGTGGCTGGTTTAAAAAAAAATCAACACTACTCTAATTATCATGACCACCCCAACTTTGAATGTTTTTTTCATCTTTCTTGATATATATATATATATATATATATATATATATAGGTGGAGGTTCAAGCGAGAACACTTCCATTTTATGAGAATACGATAACACCCTTATCACATGTGATAATACGTGTGAAGGGACCCTGTGATGTGCGGACGACGTGTTCAACGACTTAGGTCGCGCCAAAGGTTGTCTTTGTCTATGATTTAACATCACATGTGATGGTCTTGATGGATTATATTATCATATTAACAACAACCTTATAACATGTGATAATACTTGTGAGATGACTTATTGGTGTAAGGGCGACTTGGCCCGCAACCAAGATCGCATCGAAAATTGCCCGTGTCTCTGATTTAGTATCATATATGATGAAATAATAATATCATATGTAATTGTCTATAATAAAAATGTATTCTTGCGTTCTCATAAAATGAAGATTTTCTCATTTAAACTCTTTCATATATATATATATATATATATATATATATATTTATTTGTTTATTATGTGTGTGTGTGTGTGTTGTGAAATGAGAATATTGTTAAGTAGTTGCCTCTTTTGGGGACAAATGTGGGTCCATCAGTGTTGGATATTGGTTCCAAACTTGTTGCTTTAGCAAGAGTGGGTCCCATCACTTGTTAATTTGACAACTAACGATTTTAGGCTCATTTTTTCCATTTTTGGTTCGAATAACAGAACGATTTGATGCTACAAGTTTTATTGAATTGGAATTCTCGGTTGTCGTATATTATAGTTTATGTAATGATTTTTTAAGCATCTTTAACAGTTATATTATAATAGAAATTTTGATGATTTAAACGAGTTTTATGCTCCAAACTATATTATATCATATGGTAAATAGGAAGAAAAAAAAAATACATGAAAATCTGTAAATTTAGAAAAATATATAAAATTTTATATAAGGGAGAGAAATAGTATTTTAATTTTTTTTACCAATAAGAGGTACTGAAAATAATGCAACATGTGTTATTTCATATGATTTTTTGAAAAAAATATAAATAGTATTTGATAAATGTATATAATATTTTAATAATATAATTAATAAAATAAAGTGTTTGCCGGTTTTTTCTAAAAAAATCTATGTTGACTTTTACTGTATTTATCTATACTATATTATAAAGCATTTGGCTAAAACTTTTAAAAACTCTTAAACCCGTTCATTCCTAAACGATTTCATCTCATATCTGAATTTGTGTAACTAACTGCAGATAAACACAATCAAATACAGGATAAACATCTCATTTTAAATATAAAAAATCTAAAATATAATTA